CATGAACTCAGTGGCAGGTTCTCTGATCACCTCCCCCTGGAGGGTGAGCCTTACCAGTCCTCAGAGGAAGACAATCTAATCAGTCCTGATGAGAACTAATAGGCTAGGGTCAAAAAGAAAGGGAAGAGTACTTCCCATATCAATGGATTAGGGGAGGAGCTTAGGGGAAGAAGAGGGAAGGGGAGTGGGTTTAGGAGGAGATGAGGGAGGGTGACACAGCCAAGATACAAGTTGAATAAATTGTAATAAATGATAATAATAATAAATAAAAGAAAAAAAGAATAGAGTACTAACTGCTCAGTCATTATGTTGTGATATTTATTATTGAACAAATTTAAGAGTCTAAATTATTTGTATGATACCTGGTTAAGAAAAAAGCAAACACAGTTATATAAAAATATCTTTAACAACTTAACCACTTGATAATTCTCTGAAAATACAATGACTTCATAATTTTCTTTAAATACTTGTCACACATGTATGTAGAGAAATATACATGAGAAACTGCCAAAGCAGAACTTGAGTTTTTCTATTTACTTTGTAAAATGATCTTTTTTTCTGTGAATGTTGATTTAAAAAAAAAGTAAGGTTTCAAGAGTAAACACTGATTTTCACGATGTAACAAATTTCTAGTTCTCTAACATGTGTCAAAAGATGGATGTCAACTGTTTTCTTGGATAGATGGTTAAGACAATATATCCATTAGAGATACTGCTGTAGATACATACCCAAACAGCTATATCCACACCTATTAGTCAAACAAAAAGCTCACATGACAGGTGCTCTTAGCATATCACCCTTATTGACAACTCAACCAATGATTGCAGGAATATACATCATTTGATGCAGTGGTCTTGGGCTTTGCTTCATGGAAATAATCATGAGATGTTTTCATCATGAGGCCAAAGTACAGGACAGATGTGCTTTGCATACTAAACATTCACCCAACATGCAAGTTGGGTGAATAATATACATTAATCCAAAAAGAAAATGTGAACTATATTTTTAAAAGATTTAAAAATAGAACATTTACTAAAAAAGAGAATAATGCTAACTTTAGGTGGGAACAATGCTGACTATTAAAATGGGGAGGTATGATAGTAGATAACATCTCTCCAGGAGATGGGGTTCAAATATTTGGGTAGTAAGAACAATGAAAACATTTCATAAGGGTACTAAGCAGATGTATATAGAGTAATGATTTGGTCACATTTATACATGAATTCTCAGACACAAAAATATTTATGAATAATTTTATGCAATCTGGAATTACATTCTTTTAATTTTAATGGATAATCTTAGTTGAACCAGATTATATATAATATATTCCCATTATGTATTTGCATATATATATATGTGTGTGTGTGTGTGTGTGTGTGTACATAACTGAAATAATGTGAATAAAGATGGCTTGGTGGGTATAGGCATCTACCACTAACTCTGAAAACCAAAATTCAATCTTAATAAATGGACAGAAAAAAAATCGACACTCACAAGTGGTCCTCTGTCCTGTATATATGAGCTGTGGTGCGTATGTGTGTGCATGTGTGGGCAAATACCATATACCCACATACAAAGAGAGAGAATATAAATAAATTAAATTAAATTAAAATGTAATAAAACCTAGAACCCCTGCTCAGATGTAGCCCATGGCAGCTCAGTATCCAAGTGGGTTTTCTAGTAAGGGGAACAGGGACTGTCTCTGACATGAACTCAGTGACTCTTTGACTGCCTCCTCCTAGTTGGGGAGCAGCCTTGCCAGGCCACAGAGGAGAACAATGCAGCCAGTTCTGTTGTGACCAGATAAGCTAGGGTCATATGGAAGGGGAAGAGGACCTCCCTTATCTATGGACTTGGAGAGGGGCATAGGAGGAGATGAGGGAGGGAAGGTGGGAATAGGAGGGGAGGAGAGAGGGGATACAGCTGGGATACAAAGTAAATAAACTGTAATTAATATAAAAAATAAAACTTTAATTTAAAATGTAATAAAATATTAACATGTTATTAGCATAAAATTAATTTAAAACATGTTAATATTATTTGAATAAAATTTATTTAAAGAAATACAGCCACTAAAGAGTAGCATGCAATTTAGTTGCAGAGTAATGAAGGTGGCCATTATGAATAAAATATAACAAATTAACTAACTAGAAGCAAAATAATTTATGTTGCTTCTGATCAAAATATACTAGCAAGTTCCACTTTTCTCTATTCCTTTGAGAGATGGACTCTATCTTTCAGCTGTAGTAGCTGATGGTATGAAACTTTAAAAACATCTAATTTTAGCATTTGAATGGAAATAACAACATCACATATTTAGTAAAGTGGAAGAATTAAAAAGAAAGACAGCAATGTGAAGTATTTAAGGAGAACTTAATTTCTAGGCTCTTTATTCGTCGTTACTTATACTTTCCCATGACTGTCCAAAAGTGAGGTATGTAATGTTTACTAAGGAATGGAATGGAAAGGTTTGCAGTGTGGTGAGAAAAACATAAAACTGAGCCATGTTTTCCATGTCTGTATGATTATAATATTTTGCAAACATTATTCAGAATATTAACAAATTATTCAACACAGTTTTGTTATAGCTATGAAGAGCAGGTTAGCGGTGGATGGAAAAATCCTGACACTCAGAGTTCCTCTATTTAATTCAAGTCTTATTACCTTACGTCACTAAGACTGGCAAGGTCGCAAAATTTCTATAAGCATTGTTGTGAGAGGTATTTTCTGGAAGCAATTTTGCACAGGGGAAAGAAAAGAAATAATTTTCCCAATATTTTAGGACTGTAATCTATGTATAGAACGAATTAAAATAAGATGGTTGACAGGGAATATACATGCAACTCAGGAATTACAATGAAAAAAGCCAGTTGTAGTTTTTTTTTGATGATTTACACAAAACGTACACACATACAGGAGATAAATCAGAACTAGATATCCAATGAGAATCTAGAATATGCTAGTTTAAAACAATTACTGTCACTTTAAATATATACTCTTGACAGAATCACAGTGTGCTTATATTAGAAGTCATATCATTTCTGTGTTTACATTAATACACATTCATGTGAATTTATTTGCTGTGTTAAAGGTGATCCTAAAAATCTTTGCCAATGTTTTTCTTATAACCATACAGCATTGGAGGAGACCATGGAGATGTTATTTAATGATAAACGTTACAACAATTTGAAGGTAAAGGTGCCTAAAAGGCTCCTTCTGTTGAGATTAATTCTTTTACTTTTTGTATAAAACCTAAACAAATAACAGAAAAATAATTTACATATTATCAACTACTAATTGTCAGATTATATTGCAAGACATTCCATTATTATGTGAGTCTGAAATGTGTAACTTATTGTAATTTTCTTATGATAGATTTGAAAATATTGATTTCAAGTATTTTATATATGATAGTTTAATAAATCTACGTGGCATATTAATGCACATTTATTATTGCTAGTTTAGCAGTACAGAATAACTAGATAATTTAAGAAGCATTACACTGTTGCCTGATAGATAATTTTACAGTTGTTCAGTAATTCAATGACATATTTTGCCTTTTTATATCAGCTAAATTTTTCAATTAATGTTCTCAATCAAATAAGAGTATGCCAAACTTTGGGCAGAGTGCAGGGACTCTTATGGAAGAAGGGGAAGATAGAAAGACCTGGAGGGGACAGGGGCTCCACAAGGAGAGCAATCTGGCACCACCAAAAATCTGGGCACCGGGTTCTTTTCTGAAACTGATATTCCAACCAAGGACCATTCATGGAGATAACTTAGAACCCCTGCTCAGATGTAGCCCATGGCAGCTCAGTCTCCAAGTGGGTTCCCTCATGGGGGGAACAGGGACTGTCTCTGACATGAACTCAGTGGCTGGCTCTTTGATCACCTTCCCCTGAGGGGGGAGCACCCCTACCAAGTCACAGAGAAGTACAGTGCAGCCAGTACCGATGAGACCTGATATGCTAAGGTCAGAGGGAAGGGGAGGAGGACTTCCCCTATCAGGGGACTTGGAGAGAGCTATGGTAGGAGAAGGGGGAGGGAGGGTGAGATTGGGAGGAGATGTGGAAGGGGCCTACAGCTGGGATATAAAATGAACAAACTGTAATTAATATAAAAATTAAAATTAAAAAAGAATATGCAACATAATATTTAATTAATGTTAAAGAATTCAAAACAAAGTTGGTCTATAATGATAAGCTTTCTTTTCTGGCCTTAATTTAACTTAATTTTATGTCATTCCCTTAGCTAGACAGCAATGCTAAATGAAGATATACAGTAATTGTAGTTTATGTAGATTATATTAGTTTTGGGTTGGTTTTGATATTGGTACTGATGTCCAAGCCTAAGTCTTCAGTACCAGGAGAACCACTCACATGAAGCCATATCTCCCCAGCTCTCTGTTTTTCTTTTTCTTTTTCATTTTGATAGTCTCATTAAATTTTCTAGGCTAGCCTGCAACTCACTCTGGAGCCAACACATTTGAACTGGTGATTCTCTTGCCCCATACTTAGAGGAGCTGAGACTAGAGGCCTGTACCTCTAGGACCAGGCCATGTTTACTATAAATCTTTATTATGTTTGGGAAAGTGCTTTACTCACTTGAAAAGGGAATTTAGTAGAATACATAAAAAGATGTTGTAAGTAAACTGTAAGCATGCAGAATGATTAGCTATCAAAGGTATTTGCAAGTGTGCATACAGAGGCTATTAATGCACACTGGAAATAAATAATCTAGTAAAGTTTTAATTTTAACTAGGATTTTAACAATATAGTGTTGAATTAGTAGAATCCAATCTTGTTTTTAATGCTTTTTTTAATTCTCTAATTGGAAAGACATTTCTAGATCGACATTATTATCTACAGTTGAGAGAAATTTAGTCATTCCACTAATTTCATTTATTAAAATCTCATTACATTAAATTAAGTTGTAAATTCTTAGTAATATAATTACAAATTAATCCAGTGTGAAACGTGTTGCAGACTGGACAGGCTTACCATAGTAGTCTCTGCGATGGAGCCAAAGCTGTTTATGAATATGTTGCATGTGACGTTCACTGGAGGACCTGAAAATGAGAACAATATTATAAAGATTAACACATACTCACCTGAAGTATTTTGGGTAATTCTGTGCTTTTCATTATTTACAAAAATAATAGAGCTATTTTTTTGTATGTTCATAGATGGGCAACACTGAAGGCAGCTTTTCTGGAAGTCTGAATGCAAAAATCTCAAAATTTTTGATATACTTTAAGCAGTGAAACTGTCTAATATATAGACAGTATCTATTCTAAAGATTATAGAGAATATATGTCATTGAATGTACAGGCAAGAAAGAAAGAAGAGGACAGAGTCATTTCCCTTTAATATGTAATTTGTAGCTGTAATGTGACTGTCTAATGACTATAGTCTATGAGTCTCTTCAGAGATACTAAACTGTTCTTTTTCCCAGGATGATATTCTCCCATGTCTGCGTGTCTCTGGAAATTTTGTTGAAAATTAGAAGTATTAATTAAGCTTTGGTGGGTGTTATGTAGCCAGACAATATATGGTGGCCCAACTCTAACTCAACACAACACATTTACCTCCAATTCACACTTTTTTTTTAAATTCAATTTTATTTTTTTATTATTAGTTACATTTTATTAACTCTCTATCCGAGCTGTATCCCGCTCCCTTATTCCCTCCCAATCCCACCCTCCCCTCCTCATCTCCTCCCTGCTCCTTTCCAAGTCCACTGATAAGGGAGAATCTCCTCCCCTTACATCTGATACTGGTTTATCAGGTGTCTTCATGACTGGCTGCAAAGTCCTCCTCTGTGGCCTAGCAAGGCTGCTCCTCCCGGGGGGGGGGTCCAAGAGCCTGCCATTGAGTTCAAATCAGAAACAGTCCCTGTTCCCTTTATTAGGGTACCCACTTGGATACTGAGCTACCAAGGGCTACATCTGAGAAGGGGCTCTAGGTTGCATCCATACGTCGTCCTTGTTTAGAGAAACAGTCTCATAAAAGACCCCTGTGTCAGATATATTTGGTCCCTGTGGAACTCTTGTCCTATCCAGGTCATGTTAACTCCATCCCCCCCCCTTTTTTGATTCTCTGAATTCTGCCAGAGGTTTGGTTATGAGTCTTAATATCTGCTGTGATACACTGCTAGATAGAGCCTTTCAAAGGCCCTCTGTGGTAGGCTCCTGTTGGGGTACAGAGCTAAACAGAGAATTCTCAGTAGAGGAATACAGAATGGCACAGAAACACTTAAAGAAATGCTCAATGTCCTTAGCCATCAGAGAGATGCAAATCAAAACGACCCTGAGATTTCACCTGACACCCACCAGAATGGCTAAAATAAAAAACTCAAGTGACAACACATGCTGGAGAGGCTGTGGAGAAAGGGGAACCCTCCTCCATTGCTGGTGGAAATGCAAACTTGTACAACCACTTTGGAAATCAATCTGGTGCTTTCTCAGATAATTAGGAATAGTGCTTTCTCAAGATCCAGCTATACCACCCTTAGGCATATATCCAAAAGAGGTTCAAGTACACAACAAGGACATTTGCTCAACCATGTTTGTTGCAGCTTTATTTATAATAGCCAGAACCTGGAAACAACCCAGATGTCCCTCAGTGGAGGAATGGATGCAGAAATTGTGGTACTTTTATACAATGGAATACTACTCAGCAATTAAAAACGAGGAAATCATGAAATTTGCAAGCAAATGGTGGGACCTAGAAAAGATCATCCTTAGTGAGGTATCCCAAAAGCAGAAAGACACACATGATATATACACACTTATATAGACCTATAAGATATGATAAATATAGTGAAATCTATCTACCTAAAGAAGATAAACAAGAAAGAAGACCCGGGGTACGATGATCAATCCTCACTTAGAAAGACAAATAGGATGGACATTAAATGCCTTTTGATGTTAAAGAATTCTGTCTTTTTTTTTTTCTTAAATGAGTAAACACTTCCCAGACTGTTACAAGATTGTGGTTTGTTTTTAGAATTCTGAAATCTAATTTTCACAAGTCTGCCCATGTTTAACTGAAAGAGGAGATTCTCCTCTCACCCATTTTCCAACTCCCGTCTGAATGCCTGATTCTTAGTCATAACAAACTCAATAAATTTTGTTATTATTAGGTCCATTTGTTCACCTTCGCTAAATATCTAAGACCTGTATATAGCAAATGAAAGATTTATAGAGAGAATAATATAACAGAGACGAAAGTGACGGGATCAGTTAATTCTCCAGTATTTCTTTTTGCCAGGTCCAGGAAATATTTACTGTAAAATAATACAGGAGGGGGCAATAGGCTACCATTTGTATATTGAGGTTGCATAAACATCAAATGCCATAGGGACCGCCTTTGATAGTGTAAGTAGCATGGTCATGTCCAATTTTAAGAATCATTTTTTTTTCTGTATGATCTTTATCTGGCCTGAAGTGCTGCAATTGGGTTGACAATTATATAAATGAAGTGTTTTGCTGTATGAATTAATTTTCTCTGCTTTAAAATGTATCTAAATCGATCACATAAGAAAACATATACAAACTAATATATGAGAATAATTTATTCTGATTTTCTTAGCTAATACAGAAGAATAAATTTATTTTAAGTTTTAGTGTTGGAAAATTGCGTCTTAGCCTATCTTTCTCTATATAATTTTAGAAAAAATATCATTAACACCTCAATAGATTTATTGGAAACTAGGGGGATACCTCTTTAGGTAAAAGCATGTGCTGGGAAAAGATGAGGGCCTTCATTCTTATCTTGATTACTCATATAAAAAATCTAGATATGTATATGTGTGCCTGTAACTCCAGCACTTATAAGGCGAAACAAGTTGGTTTCACAAGCTTCCTGGTCACCCTAGCCTAAACAGAAAACTTTCAGTTTAGTGAAAGACTTTGTCTTAAGGCAATAAGAAATGGAGTGATTGAATTTTTGGGGTTTCTCATGTAGACTATCATATCATCTGCAAATAGTGATACTTTGACTTCTTCCTTTCCAATTTGTATCCCCTTGATGTCCTTTTGTTGTCATATTGCTCTAGCTAAGACTTCAAGTACTATGTTGAAGAGATATGAAGACAATGGGCAGCCTTGCCTTGTCCTTGATTTCAGTGGGATTGATTTAAGTTCCTCTCCATTTAACTTGATGTTGGCTATAGGCTTGCTGTACATTGTCTTTACTATGTTTAGGTGTGTACCTTGTATTCCTGATCTCTCCAAGACTTAAAACATGAAAGGGTGTTGGATTTTGTCAAATGTTTTTTGAGCATCTAAGGAGATGATCATGTGTTTTTTTCTCTTTCAGTTTGTTTATATGGTGGATTACATTGATGGATTTCTGTATGTTGAACCATCCCTGCATGCCTGGGATGAAGCCTATGTGGTCATGGTCGGTGTTCCTGGATTTGGTTTAAAAGTATTTTATTGAGTATTTTTGCATCAATGTTCATAAGAGAGATCAGTCTGAAGTCCTTTTTTTTTTTTTTTGGTTTGGTCTTTGTGTGGTTTAAGTTTCAAGGTGACTGTGGCCTCATAGAATGAGTTTGGTAATATTCCTTCTGTCTCTATTTTGTGGAGCAGTTTGAAGAGTATTGGAATTAGCTCTTCTTTGAAGGTCTGGTAGAATCCTGCAATGAACCCATCTGGCCCTGGGCTTTTTTTGGAAGTCGATTTTTGATGATTGCTTCTATTTTCTTAGGGGATATAGGACTATTTACCTGATCTTGATTCAATTTTGGTAACTGGAATCTATCAAGAAAATTATCGATTTCCTTTAGATTTTCAAATTTTGTGTCATATAGGCTTTTTTTTAGTAAGACCTAATGATTTTTTTGGATTTCCTTAGTGTCTGTTGTTATGTACTCCTTTTCATTTCTGATTTTGCTGATATGGATATTTTCTCTCTGCCTTTTAGTTAATTTGGCTAAGGGTTTGTCTATCTTGTTAATTTTTTTCAAAGAACCAGCTCTTGGCCTCACTGATTCTTTGAATTGTTTTCTTTGTTTCTAATTGATTAATTTCAGCTCTGTGTTTGATTATTTCCAATGGTCTACTCCTTTTGGGTGTGTCTGCTTTTCTATTTTTTTCCCTTAGGGCTTTTAGGTGTGACTTTAAGTTGCTTTTATGAGATTTCTCAAACATCGCTCTGGAGGCACTTAGGGCTGTGAACTTTCCTCTTAGCACTGCTTTCACTGTGTCCATAAGTTTGGGTAAGTTGTGCCTTTATTCTCATTGAATTTTAGGAAGTCTCTAATTTCTTTTTTCATTTCTTCCCTGATAAGCTGTCATTAGTAGAGAGTTGTTTGGTTTCCATGTGTATGTAGGTTTTTTGTTATTTTTGTTGTTATTGAGGTCTAGCTTTAGGCTATGGTGATCTGATAGGATACAGTTTGTTTCCTCTTTACATGCCCCTAATAACTGGATAAGCATATCATTGAAATCATTTTCCTGTGATTCCGATAAATTAGCATATCCATTGATTTTGTGGGTTGCTTGTGAATCCATGATGTCCTAATTTTTGTTGGATATATTCTTATTCTGGCCTCCAGCCATCTGGCGATCAGTTTGCTGTTTGTTCCTGGAGTCTAAATATCAGACTAGGTTTGTCTTTCTCTGGTGTCTGGAGTTTTCTTCAGGAAGATGAGAGAGGTCTGCTTGTTTGAGAGTGTGTGTTGATGTTTCAGCTGTACTTAAGGGAGGAAAATCACAGGCACCTGTGCACAAGTACTGGCATGTGCATGGAAATGTGCCTTGAACGACAGGGTACTATAGAGTGTAGATTCCTGGAAGGGTGGAATGTAAGCACAGGAGGCAGTTCTGGCCCTGTTCATGGGTGCAATGATTATGTGTAGGTGCCCTGAATACCTCAGTGGCCTATAGGCCTATCTACTGTCGTCTTAGTATCCAGATCTGTCTGGGATCCAGGAATTGTTTGCCTGGACTCCACTGGCAGACTCACAGAACAGGGACTTCAATGTTGAGACTGCTGTCCAAGGTTGCTAAGTTGCCCACAGTGGGGGTGTAGGTGGGAGGGATCTGATATCTGGCTGCTA